GTCATTCACTGATTGCTCTCTGGAGGGATGACGTTCCCTGTACAAGGGATCGGCAAGCCGCATGAATGACTGGGCTGGAAACGGGCATGCCCTGTTCCCAGCGGCTGCACGGCATCTACTGATTGGCACGTGTTTGTGGCATGTGTTTGCAAGCGCTAGCCATACCCTTCGATGTGCGGGTGTTGTCACTTTCTTCGTTTCAAAAATGTGTACTTTATCACTTCTGGATGAGCAAGGGTTGACTACTGCATTTTATCAAAATCTAAGACCCACCCATTATAGGATACACCATCATTTTATGGAACACTGAGAAAAAAATGCTGCTAATTACATAATTCAATACCTTCTTATTACTTAGATTTCTTCCACACAATACCCATCATCCTCTGCACCACTGTCCCCTGTGTATCTCTTAAAGGAGTGCTTTACTCTGGTCTCTGGGAGCTTCCAAGCCTCCGGCTTGTATTCTGCAAGCTTTGTCCTGGAATTTCCTTAACCTTAGCAGAAGATATCAAAGGTTCCCAGCTACCCATTAGGAACACATTTTAAATAGTAATTAAATGCAACCTGCGTCATACAATCAACAAACATAGTTTAATATAAAAAACCACGCTTAAGTTCAGGCATGCGCAGCCAATTAACAACCACCCTGTCATTGTCGCCCTGTTTGTCACCAGATATATTCCACTTCAGAGTTGTAAATGTGGGGAAAAATATGGTTCTTAGAATGGGAATTTGGGAAATACAAAACCAGCATTTTCAAGAGGGAACTCAGCCCAGTAAATGCTGGGTAGGTTATACTTTTCATAGACCAATATAGATACCACTTAGGTGCTTGATGTTTGAGAGCCAAGGTGTCCAGTGTTTTTTATATACATCAGTGCATTCAGGCTTCCCAACAGTGCATTGACTTTGGTAGTTGTATCCTCATCTTGTAGATGAGAAACTGAGCTCAGAGATGTGAGTAACATGACCCTAGGTCATAAAAGTAGCAGGTGATAGAGCCCAAATATAAACCCAGATGTGTCTGACTCCAGAATCCATTATCATTCCCACCAGACCAGTTTCCATACTGGCCTTAGGTCACCTAAGTTCTGATAGCAACAATAGTTACAGTTCACCTGGTCCAGACACTCCTAAAGGGATTGCTTAAGTCTCATATTTATGGAGACAAGATAGAATTGTCTATAGTGATTGTAATCACAATATGATACGAGAACTATATACAAGTGACGAAATAGTGAGGATAAGATAATATATACATACGTACAAGAACTACCAGCTAGGTAGTTAGGCAGTTGTTTAGGCTATTTTGGCTTATGTACAGAAAGAAAACCCTCAGGTTTCTTACTGCCCTCCATTGCACAAAGGTTATTTGAGTTTACATTACTTCCTTTGTCATACTACCAAATATCCTCATTGGTTACAGGAGCCCAGGATTTCACTGTTTGGCAGTTTCATGCCCATTAAGGGCTATGGACTTGGAACTGTTTGATTCCACTCCCCAAAAGACCATGATTGGGGTCACTGACAACAGCTCAGCCCAGACATAGACAACAGTCCTCCGACCACGTCACCCACCATGTTTAGCTAGGAGAACCCTTTCGAAGCCACCGACTTCACATTTGAAATAAGAGTAAGGATTAGTGTTGAAATTTTCTTGAAATTATATGATAAACTTTATTTTCTACTTTTTGTTTCTTTCATGGAAGACTTCATCATGAAAAGGAGGAAGCCCAAACTGAAGTGAGTTAAAAACATTGTCTCCAAGAGAGGACTGTGGCGCGGCCCTGACTTGAGGTAAGACGTGGTGGCGCATACAGGCGGGACTACGTCAACCTACACCAGCCACACTCTCCCTCTGTGTCGCTCTTTCTTCCTTTCCTACTTTGCTTTCCAGGCTTTCTTTCTCTCTTCCCCTTTTCTGGGAATTCAATGGACCAAAGATGCTGCTTATGATGCTCAACTTTCCCAGATCTCAAGAAGGGACAAGTGAGCTGATAGGAGAGTCTGAGTGGAGAGGGACAGAAGTGTAAGAAATCGCAGCCGTCCCGGGAAATGAAGGGTGAACAGTTACTATGATGCTGCTTGTAAGCCTGACCCAGAAGACTGCTGACCTTTGCCTGCCTTCCTCCGTCACACCATGCTGTCCTTCAAAAATGCCCTTTTGTAATGATTTCACATCAGAGTCCAGGAGATCTTCATGTATTTGGGCTCTCAAAGAGTTGGAGCACTTGCTGTGTCCCCTGGTTCCCCCAGGCAGCTTCACTGTCTCCCAACCACTGAGCGATGGTGGAACAAAGGTCTTGTCCCACTGGATAAGTTATGGAGGAGAGAATATGTAAACAGGCTTTTTCCTACCCATCCGATCACCATGAAAAGTCTTTCGTTGCTGTTGCAAAGCTCTGTCCTTGGAAACCTGAAGTGGTTTAACGTAGCCTTTTGCACTGGTGGCCGGAACCTCCGTAGTCGTCCATCTCCCCTCCCCTATCCTCTCCTCTCCACCTTTTTTCTTTCTCTTTCTTAGTATTATTATTCCCATTAATTTTTTAAACAATCACAAACTTAAAGAAACATTTCCTGAATATTTTAAGAGCAGTTTTCCAATTTGATGCCCTATTATCCCCAAATACTTTCGTTTGTGTTTCCTACAATGAAAGATGTCCTTCTACATAGCCAGAGTATAACCATCAAAGTTAGGAGATGAACATTGCATATTACCACCATCTAATCCTGAGACCTTGTTCAAATTTTGCCCTATGTCCCAGTAAGGGTCCGCATAGCTGGAAGGTCCAGTTTAGAATCTCACATGCTGCTGTTCTGGCTGTTTTGAACCTCACACGCTGCATTTAGGTGTCATGTCTCTTTAGTTTCCTTCAGTCTAGAACAGTGTCATAGTCTTTCATTACAGTGACATTTTTTAAGAACACAAGCCAGTTATTTTGTGGACTGTCCCTGAATTTGGATCTTTCTGATGTTTCCTAATGATGGGACTCAGGCCACGCATCTTTGGGAGGAATAGCGCAGAAGGCTGCTGAGTGCTGCTCACTGCATCCTATATGGTGGTGCGCCATTTTGATTTGTCCCATTACTGACAGTGTTCACAAATCACTTCATTAGGAGATGTCTGACTGGCTTTTTTACTGTAAAATCACTTTTTTCCCCTTTGAAATTAATGAATATGTTGGTTTGAACGGTATAAATATTCTGTTCCTTATCAACCTTTTAATTAATTAATTAGTTAATATCAGAACAAAGTCTCATGATCTCCTATTGTATTAGGACCAAATCCCCTGGACGTAACTGATTACCCGTCTCTTCCACCACCCTCTCTCCCACATGGATGCCCTCCTCACCCTGCTCGGGCTCTGATTCCTTACACTGGGCTGCACCCCCATCCTGGTAACAGATACCCTCTTGCCTCCCTTGGGCTCTGGGCTGAAGCTCCCCTCTCCCACCACCACAGATCCCTGCCTCTCTTTGTTTAGCTAATGGGTTTAAAACTAAATTGTTCAGGAAGGGACAGGAACAGAAAGAAGTGGAAAGACATCTTCTGTATGCTTTGATCCTCCTTCTTTTTTTCTCTTTCCCATTCATCCCGACCTATCCTGACCCCTCTGACCCCTGCCAGTTCCCACGACTGTCTTCCCAAGCGCTCAAGGCAGGACTGAATCTCCAGCAACAACATAAGCTCCTCTAGTCCGACTATGAGGGTTTAATTCCTGGTGTGTGGGGGGGACTTGAAAACTCGTGTGACGTCGGGCAAGTGACTTTCTGTCTCCAAGCCTCAATTACATGGTGTATAAAATGAATACCTGGCCCTGACTGGTGTGGCTCAGTGGATTGAACGCTGGTTTGTGAACCAAAGGGTCATTGGTTCAATTCCCAGTCAGGGCACATGCCTTGGCTGTGGGCCAGGTCCCCAGTTGTGGGTGTGTGAGGGGCAACTTCATCTTGATGTTTCTATCCCTTTCTTTCTGTCTCCCTTTCCCTCTCTCTAAAAACTACATAAAGAAATAAAATCTTAAGAAAATAAAATAAAATGAATATCTTAATAATGCTACTTCACAGTCTTACCGAAATTAAATGAGGCAAGCCTAATATAAAGCCTTTATTGCCTCCCACAAAACAAGCACTAAAAAATTCTGTTGATTATTATTTTCCTTCCTATCTGTTTTAGGTGGTAATTGTTTTATTGTTCTTTTTTCTTTTTTCCCCCAAATGCTTTTTTTTTTGTCTTATTCTTACTACATTTTGGTTTCCATGAACTAGTTTACTTTCTTGCTCTTCTTGACTCATTTTACTTCCAGAATGTTCATGCTTGAGGTACACTAAAGACGAAATCTAACGATGTAGAGCCATTGTTGTCTGTTGAAGCAATTTCCGGAGAGAGAGCAGGAGATGAATAGAAAATAGGAGATTGATTAGATCAATACCACTACCTCCCAACCAAGAACTAAGCTTGGTCGGGGTGAATGATCAGGAGGAAATGCTCTCCGTTTAGTATAGTTTTGATATCCTACTTATAAAAAATGACTTGTGAACCCTGAATGATGAAAAGGGTACCGGTACATCAATTAGGGGGACAGGAATTAATGGTTTGTGGGACACAGGGCATATGTTGTGAGGCCTCCTAGAGAGGCCTTCCCTAACCACCCTGATTAATTAGCGCTGCCAGCCTCACCCCCAGGCACTTTTTATTCCACATTTCTGTTCTAGAGTCTTTGTAAGCCCTCATCATCCAACATCGTTTTTCCTTTCACTTGCTCACTCTCTGTTTCCCATAGACTACAAGCTGCATGAGGGGAGGGGCCCTATCAGTCCTGCTCAGCTGAGTCTCCAGCGCACAGCACAGCACCTAGCATATCGTAGATGTTGATAAAATTTGTTGAACAGATGAGTGAATAAGTGAGGCTACTTATGTGCTACATTAAATTTTCTCTGCATCTGTTCATGGTATGTCCACTTCGTCAATTTTCTGATGACTGTGTGTAAGGACAATGAAGAAGAACAAGAGGAAGTCCACCACGAGGGTCAGCGAGCAAGAGGCCATCTACGCCCCGCCCTCGCACGGTCCAGGAGGTGTCCAAAACATGTTGGATGGAGGAGAGTATGCTCCCTTTGTAACTCCTCCCATGTTAGAGGGCAACTTTATCCAGGTAAATATTTGAGTCCTGAATTATGTTACAATAACTTCAGTCACCAACGTACTCAAAGATGACTGAAAAGATTGGGAGAAGAGTTGCTTTAAGTGTGACAAGAGGGCATGTGCTACAATTAAAGGGAACAGTTTGGGAACTTTGAACAACTGAAAATAATTGTACTGTTAAATAAAAATTCATTTCAAATTTTTCCAACTCTAACCTAGGAATTCTGTACTAACTCTACTGTAATTATTATCATAATCTTGCCAAAATTACATGAAGGGACAACAGCCATTTTCAGGATGTCCTACCATAGGAAAATATTCATATCACCGTAGGAAAATATTCAATAATATTCATATTATTTTGAAAAATAATATCTGTGCTGCAACTAGGATTTAAAGTGCATTTTGACTCAGTTCTGAAGGTAAAATATAATTGTCAAATTGTGTCATGGAGAAAAGTTTCCTGTCATAAATATGCACTATATTCTAAATGAAGCTACATTTCAATGCATTTGGGAGCAGTTCTAACTTTCCTTTGAACATTCGACATTGAAATATTCAGACAAAGAAATAGGGAAATGAGTTCAATGGCGTGGACCATACTCATAAACTGCATTAAAGTGCCACAGCCACGTCTAATAGGAAACGCATCCATTCAAGCAGCTCCTCAGCTGCTTCCACAGAGGGGTGACAGGGAAGACCACAAACACAGCTTCATCTCCACACTGACAGCTGGAACTTGGGGAGACCGCCTCACCTCCTCAGCCATAGACAGGAGGTGGCACCTCAATGAACACTAATGTCTAAGTGACACCCTGGAACACATGTAATAAGTCATAGTTTTATATACTTTACTTTTCATATGCTTCTTTCCTGCTAATAATCTTCTTATTTCATTTTTCACACTTCTTCTTGCATACTTTTCAAATAACCATTGCACGCTCCAGTGAACACTGGGGGGCAGTTAGCGTTCTGTAGTCCATCCACGGCCCCATGTCAGACATACTCGGATAAGGTTATCCCTTCAATGGGCAGCAAGATTCCTCCTCTTCCAGCTGGCAGAGGTTTTACTGACCCAGAGTCTTAGGCTTTGGGGAGTCTGCATGTGCTGTTCCTCAGCCTGGAAGTTCTGTCCACCAGCGAGTTCACCCCCACGTCTTTCTCAGCGAGAAGCCCTTCCTCAGGGGGCTTCTCTGACCCCGCGTCCAGGCTGCCTGGGCCTGACCTACTGGTAAGTGTTAGGTGTGCAAACAGTTGTTAAACAACAGCCATCATTAAACATTAAATTATATAAACCTTTAAAATTAAATCATATTCAGAACAAAGGCAACAAATACTCAAAACTCATCATTCTTATTATTTCATTACATTTTACTATTATCTATGCTCTTGAGGCTGTGGATGTAAGAGTTTGGCAAAGGTCAGTGAAGACGTCTGTGAAAATTAGTTGACTGAATGGAATTTAAAACAAAGGGTATCGCATATCATTATTTGTAAATTGTGTGCTACTTATGTTTTATATCAGTAAAATGTATAATAAACATACGTGTATGGACCTTCCAAGAGGCAGTTGTTGCCATTTACCAGCATACCGCTGCCTACGTCCCCCTCTAAGCCCAGCCCCCGCTTGGTGCCCCACAGCGCAGCACCCTGGGCTTGTACTTGGTAACTCTTCTTACAAGAGTAATTAGTGACACAGTTGTTCAACGCTTACCCTCCCTGGTAGGCCTCCATGCGTCAGGGACCGTGCCGGCCCTTTCACGGTCACAGCTCCAAGAATTCACAGGAACACATGAGTGAACAAATGCATCATATGCTTCATTTCCCCTTTATTTCCTACACTGCTCAGGCCAGCAAGGTTGTCAGGACCGTGCACTTTATCGGAAAGCCTCTCTTCCTGTTCTCTGTCTTAGGTCAACAGGAGAGGCGAATCCATTTACCTTCATAACCGAGCCAACTGGGTAACTGTCGGCATCTGCTCCTCCAGTCACAGCCACAAGGCCCCCAGCGTGATGCTGCTGGCACACCTGAGCCCCGGCGCCCGGAAAGATTCAGAACCCCTGTTTAAAAGTCTCCTGACATCTCACTTCCCCGAGAAACTGGTCCTCACCAGGTGAGTTACAAAGGGAAGAGGTGAAAGATGTTTCAGAAAATATGCTTTACCTCCAAGGAGCTGAAAATGGAGACAGCAATGACAATTGCTCCAAAGGGGCCTCTCACTTGCACTCTCTGCTGCAGATGATCGAGTCCCACCCTCGAAATCTGGGAAAATAGTTTATGACAACCTGGCAGTCAAATCGGAGGTTAATTTTTGTTTAAAATAAACTTAAATAGCAGGAACTGAAGACTCACGTAGAGCATCCCCTTTCTCCCCCACAACATCCCAACTTACCAAAATTATCTCTGGTCTTATCTCAAGCCACCAACTTGCTGCATGGCCTAGGGCAAATTGCCCAAGTTCTCTAAGTCTCAATTTTGCAGGATTAAATAGGACAACTTCTCATGGTAAATAGCTGATACTCTGATTTGTTTAGGACATCAGAGTGTTAGGAGTGTGACTCAGGTGAGATGACCCCCCCGACCCCGCTCCCAGGAGCTTGGTTACATGTACTGCAAAGGGCTGAGCCTCATGCACCAAGGACCAGACCTGGGAATGTGGGGGCTGCAAGAAGTCCCTGCCCCGCCCCAAGCCTGCCCCTCCACAGGCCTGGGCTGGAGGCAAGCCTGTTATCCTAAGTCTCGCTCTTCAAACTGCTATAAATCCTCAGTGGAAAGGCCTCTCGATATTTCTAATCAGGCCACTCGATGACCTCTGTGTTTGCTTGCAGGTTTCTCCCCCTGCAGTTTGTGACTCTGTCTGTGCACGACGCAAAGACTATGCGCCTCAAAGTAAAGCTGGTGAGCGGTCGAGCCTACTACCTACAGCTCTGCGCCCCTGCATGCAAGCAGGACACCTTATTTTCTCAGTGGGTGCAACTCATCTCCCTCTTGAATCAGGAGAAACCCAGAGCTTCCAAAATGTCGGGAGTCTCAAGCCTCTCCGAAGTCACAAATAGCACAGACATCACAGGCTCGGTGGACATCGTGGACATTGCAGCATTAACAGCTTTGCAGGGCCCACCCGTGTACCCAGACCCAGACGCTACACATGCCATAGAAAGCACCGAGTTCTCGGAATTAACAGTCATCACTGATGTCACCGACATCACAGATGTTCCAGAAAAAGAGGTCACTGAGGCTCCAGACGTCAAAATTTTCACAGAAATCACAGAAGTGTCGGACCTCCATGATGTCACAAACAGTTCAGGGGTCAGAGTGGTATTTGAAAATGATGACATAATAAGGGCCAAGGAAAAGGTACGTGACCTGGAAGACTTTCATTCTTTAATCATTAAGGACAACAGTGATCATCGAGATTTTGGTTAGCTACCTGACGTTGATTATCAGAATGCTGGGGAATTTGCTCTGAGTTGCCTAATTTCAGTAATGAGATCTGAGCCCTGAACCCAAAGGTAAAGGACTTGTCAGGTGTCCCCCGAAACAGGTAGTGACCATCCTTACCACCAAACTTTCCACAGTGTTGGAAGGCTATGGTGGGACGGAGACAGCTTTGGGATGAGGGTCAGAAGGCCTGGCTTGGAACCTTGCCCTGCTGCGGATGCGGCGCCGTCATAGAAACCAGGAAAGTGGGAGAACTTTCCTGGTTTCTGACTGAACCTGCACAAGCCTCAGTCTCTTCATCTCTAAAATGAGTGTATCAGAATCATGTAGGGGCTATGTTAAGGTGCAAATGTACAAAAGGATGCAGTGCATTGAAGGATGGGGTGGAACTTCAATAGATGAAAGTGAAGGTGGAAACAGAACACTAAAACACCAAAAGGAGTGGCTGTAGAAAAGGTCAGAAAGTGGAAAAACACAGAGCCATATCCAAGCATGTTAGTTTGGTTTGGCTGGAACATAAGATATGTGGAGAATATTCAGATATAGGATTGATAAGTTGCTTGCAAACCTTGGATGCCAAAATAAGAAGTGTGGGTTTCGGGCTCTGGGCAAAGCTAAGCCACAATACCCCTTTCTGTTAGGATGTGAAGGGGCTGTGTTTTAGAAAGATTAATTTGATGGCAGAATGGATTGTAGGTAAAGAAATCAGTTTGAAGACTACTGAGGAAAACCTCCAGGGGGCCCAGAATTTTTTAAAAATGACAAAGGGAGAGGAAGATATTTCAAAGAAGAAACTTCCAATAAATATAGTGGATAAAGTTTAACTCAGTAGTAATCAAAGAGATGCAAACTTAGAAAAAAATCTAACCTATAAAACTGTTAATTAAAAGAATAAAAATACTCAATGTTAGTAAACCTGTGGTCAATGTGGAATTCATATAGATTCATGGTAAGGATGAGAATTGCTACAGACTTTCTTGAAATCATTATGAATCAAGAACCGAGGTCCTGGTGGGTGTGGCTCAGTGGATTGAGTGCCAACCTGTGAACCAGAGGGTCAACAGTTCGATCCCTGGTCAGAGCACATGCCTGGGTTGCAGGCCAGGACCCCAGCTGGGGATGCACGAGAGGCAAACACACATTGATGTTTCTCTTTCTCCCTCCCTTCTTCTCTCCCTAAAAATAAATAAATAAAATCTTTTAAGAAACCAAAAAACCTAAGAATGTTTATAACCTTTGACACAGTGATCCCACTTCTGGGACTCTTTCTAAAGGAATTAATCAGAAATAGGAATGAGGATTTAGCTAGAGCGATGTTAATCATACCACATCTATACCAAGTGTATTTAAAATGATAATATTGTCATAATCTAAATGCCCACTACAGGGGAAATGACTAAATGGCTTTAAATCCATGAAGGGCAGTCCCTGTATTTGTCTTACTCAGGAGTGACCATAGTATGTGTCTGGCAAGATCATAGGCACTTAGTAAATATTCGTTAAATAAATAAGTACTCTATAGCTATTAAAATTGTTGAAGACTTTTTCTTTACTTGGAAAAATCTTCGTGATATAAAACAGAGTGAAAAATTAAGACTATGATTCCTACTATATAAAAATACTTTTATACACACAGAGACAACAGAAGAGGGAAAAGCCATATTGGGATTTGGGGATTATAGGCAATTCATATTTTCTTCACACGTTCTTGAATTTTCTGTTTCCTACAATGAAAACTAATTTTTATTAGAATAATTCAATTTATAATAAGGAAAATGCTTAAAATAAGTCATTAAGTGAAAAGTATAAGCTATGAAATGAAAATATAATCACAAAGTATGCGTATACAAAATAAATAAATGGACAAAAAGACCTAGTGAAATGTGCCATAGGAGTAGTTATTTCCGGCCAATGGTGTCAAGCAGGTGATCCTATGCTTCCTTTCACTTTATATCTTACCGGTTTTTTAAAATTAGTCTATAATAAATACATATGACTTCCATTGTCAGACTAAGTGAAGTTTCTAAGGAAGGAAGTTATTGCACTATTTTCAAGGACAGGTAACGGCGGAGGGGGACCCGTGAGGCGCAATTTAGGGCACCAAGTTTTAGGCAGAAGTCCTCAGTCTTTTGAGATCTGCTGTCATGACGAACCTTCAGCTCCTCTCGGCAATTGGAGGCTCTTAAACGGAGAACAGCGTCAGGCTGGGGAGGAGGTAGCAGGGCGTTTCTGGAAAACCGTCCTTTCCTTGATAACTCAGGGAGAGGAGGCACTGTAATTAAGTGCTAATTGTCTTGCGTGAGGTGACTGCGGGGTGCACGCCCCCATGAGCTTTTCCGCGCGGGGCCAGGTGCCCACGGCCTCGGGGTGGCGGTGCCTCGTCGGCCGCCTCCCCTCCGCACGGCGGACGCTGCGTAAACAGGAATAGAGGGATACCTGGTTGAGATACGGCCTCGTACATAACCGGCTTCTGTGTCATGCTCTGCTGTCACCTGATTTGCTGATGCTTATTATTTTCAAAGGAAAAAATAGACAATATCCTGAAGACTGGGTGTTTACAAGATACAGAAAGTAAGAATGCGTTACAAGAAGGCTCAGATCGCATCACCGACTCAAACGTAACACTGCCCTTCGAAGGTGAAAGATGTTTTCGTACCGCCTTGGCTCCAGAAGGAACTGAGACAAATACATCCAAAGAGATGAGAGACAGGACCTCGGAAACAAGGACAGCTGGCTTTCCCCGCGCGGCTCTCAGGGCTGAAGAATCCAGGTACGGGAGGCGCGGAAGGGCCAGGGATGCGAGGGCGGGGGGGCAGCTAAGTGTGTGCTTTGAAGGCCCCGCAACGCAGGCACTTGTGGCTGAACATTCTCAGACGTAGACACGATACAATGGAGTGACGTAGTCAACTCTTCATTATCCACCTTTGGTTCAGTCTCGTCTAATTTCACGCCCGCTTCCCACACCACTCACTCGGCGTTCTGGGCTCTCTGTCTGGTGTTGACGGTGCTGAAGAAAATAGACTAGGATCACAGGATCCACATTTGGGAGTTAGGGGACCCAATTTCTAGAGTGATCTAGAGTACCTTTTCTTCTTTATACTTCTCTATACTTTCTCCCCTACATATGCCTTACACTTTTTGATGCTTCCAACTAATAGCTTCTTCATCTGAAAAAAGCTGTTTTCATAATTTTAATATTCAATTGTAAGATGAATGGGAGAGCGCACTACAGTGTTATAAAGATAACAGTTAATCTGATCACCCTGGAGTAACACCTACAAAGAAACCAGAGAAAAACAGAGACCCAAATGCTTATATTAGCAAAGATGAAAATGAACGATGCAATGAATTATGTCTCAACTCTTTTTAAATATAAAAAAAGGATTTTTAATGGGTTTTGACACATGCATAGTGACATGTATCCACCATTGCATACAGAATAGTCTCACTACCCTAAAAATCCTCTGAGCACTAGATTAGCTCTTGATGGCTTTTTAAAATACTAAAATTCTAAGATAAAAAATTTTTACGATGAAAAATGCTCTGCAAGTGCAAAGTTTTGTTAGTTTCACTATTATAATCACCTTAGAAATGAAAAAAATTTTCTGCTATAAATAGCAAAATATCATAGAATTGTAAAGATAAAAGGGACCTTGAAGGTTAGCAAATCCCAAATTTTCAAGGCCCTGCCCACCAGTATCTCAGTGTCCTGTGTCATTTATCTGATGATTCTACTAGGGAGAAAATTAAATAGATAAAATTTAAAACACAAAACAAAAACCAAATTTTGGTTCTGAGTAATCCTCTTAAGCCCAATTTAATCAAGCCTGGATTCTTTTTTATTGCCCGTTTACATCAGGAATATAATAACTAGCTAGAGCCTAATTTGATAATCTTCATTATGGGAAGTGGAGGGACTGAGCAAAAAAGAAAAAGGACTCATGGGCGTGGACAACAGGGTGGTGGTTGCTGAGGGGAGGGGGAGACAAGGGACTAAATGGTAATGGGAAAATACATAATAAAGATTATATATTTAAAGAAAATATTCATTACGAATGATAGGTATAATCTAAGAGTAGAATGGAATTCACTGGTGCTTTATTCCTGGGACATTTGTAAAATAGTGTAAGATTTGTAAGATTGAGTCAGGCATTTGTGAGGGTGATAAATAAGTTCTACATATTTTTCTTCAAGACCATGAAATTCAGTGACACTTTACAACCATGTACTTTGGAGGAACGAAAAAAATTAAACAATGACCTTGTTAGATGTTTTGTCCTCAAATTCATTGTTCTTTAAAATATAAATTCAGAAATTTAAATATAGATTAGTGAAAGACTGTGGAGCCGTCTATAATGTCACTTTAGGTCCGTTAAAAGTGAAGGATTTACTTTATAAAGCATTAATATTCCTTTTCATGCCTTGATAATAGTGCTAGTATGACTCTTGCCTTTGCTTTATGGAGGATAATGGCTTTAGTTTAGTTTGTACCTATTTAAAGTACATTCACTTTATATTTTTCAGTCTCTTGATAACTTTTATTGTTAAGCTTAATCTTCATTTAAAACACTAGACCTATTTAGTAAAGACTATATGAACATTTATTTGCAAACTCCTCAGAAAATTACTCAATTAACCTTTACTATGGAAAGACCCATTAGTAGAACTCGAACTGGATGGATTTGCCAGAACCCTTGAAATGGATCATACTTATATCTTTGTACTTACCTGTGAAAGTATTATCTAAGGGTAATTATTTTTCTGAAACACTTTCTTTCACTCAAACAGTAACAATTCCAAAATATTTATTGAAAATGTGACAAAGAAACAAAGATTTGGTGAAAATTGAGTGACTTAGGTTTATGTTTTAGCATGCCAATAAGGTTAAGAAAATAAGTATTTTAATTATTGTTAATAATTTTTAAAATTAAGAGTGCAGAAAACAAACTTCTTTATCCAAAGACATTTCTGAAAGTGATATAGTCTGTAAAAGTGACAACTTCTCTCCTATTTCGTTCACTAAACCATAAGGAACATGGTAACTTAGGCAAATACCTCACCTGTGTTGAGGAGGAAAAGTAATTTTCCTTCTACCCTTCAAGTTTATCTGGCTGATCTAATAATCAAATTAACATGAGACAGATTAAAAAGATAAAATAACCAAATTTATTACATATGTACATACAAGGGTTCCTTAGGAATGTAGGGCGCTCCAACAGAACGGGCAGTAGAGGTTCTTGTGCCATTCTATACCAAGAAGAGGGAGGCAGGGGTCTGGATGTCAAAGGGGAAGTAGGCAATTCATAGGTAGATGAGAAAGAGCAAACATTTGGTAAACAAATCTTGCCAGGACACCCAGAAACAATGGGACTCAGAAGGGAGCCTAAAAACCCACTTTGCTTGGCTTCTTCCTTCCTACCCCACTGAGACCGTATTATGACACTAAGGCTCCCTTCCTTTGAGCTGGTTTTCCGAGGCAGGGGGCAAAGGTTCTTTCTGGGTCTTTTGTTTCTTAAAAATAACCAGCTTAAAATAATCAATATTCCTAAAAGACATATTTTGGGGTTGGCATGCTCTGCTTCCCCTCACCTGCAAGATTCCCAGGCACTGTCACCCCTATCAGGGCCACCGGAGACTGTGACAAGGAACTTCCAACCCCAGGCACCCATCCCTTCCTGAATTGACCCCCTGGCCTCCATGGAAACTTGTATTCCCAACACAGCTAACTAGTTAGGTAAGCCCCTAAGCTCCTCTCAGTCTCAACCCTAAATAAGTTGTCAGGGGCTAGGGAGGAAACAGGAGAGGGATGCTCCTCGCCCCCAACTGAGTGACAGGTAACAGACAATAAAAATAGATTATATGTTATTCCACACAATTCACTTGTATGGCTTTTATGGTAGGACAACTTGCCTGTTAGAGGAATTTAGGTAATTTTACTTTAATATGTATTATAATCACTAATGCCCTAGGTGTGCTAAACATGTCTCATTACTGCCTCCAAAGCATTTAGAGAATGGTCAGTTATCTCATGCCCAGTCATTATTTTCTAAATATTTGTGGTTTCACTGGCAAAATTTTTAAAATGTGTTGTTTATTTTTACAGGAACGTGAGAACTGATTCAAACACTTCAGGTATGGAACAAATTCCACTACGTTTACTTTGAAATCCCTGGTATCCAGTAGCCACTGCTGGGTCCTGGAACAGGGTAGTTAAGAGCAAAGGAATCAAGCGAGATGTTTTGATGCATTCCGCATCCTGCCTTCGCTCAGTTCTGAGAGTTCCACTCTGCAGAAACTCGTCGCAGAGCCTATCCGTAGGCTGCCTTTCAAGTGAGAGTCATCTCTTCACATTTTTCTGCCTGGTGGAGTTCAGTTTCCTAGTTCCCAGCATCTAACTCCCTGGGCTTGAAGCACTCCCGAGCTAGCACTGCAGGCGGAACCCAAACAATAGGGCCCCTTGTCCTTGCTGACTTGGAAGGGGACTGGTCCACAACTAAACCTCTTGGTAAATCTGAAATCATCTAGCCCTTCTTTTCTTCCTACTTTCAGCTTTAGCCTCTGCTTTGCTGTCAGGTGATACCATTTAAAGTTTTGTTTGGCATTTCTTCCTTTACAAATGCTCCTGTCTCAGGATTTAAAATTGTAACACAAGCTTCCGAGGGCGGGGGCCGGGGTGGGGCGCGTTCTATAGGCACCAGTGGAGATCTCTTCCTTAGCTGGCTTCTGACTCACTTCTAAGTTACTGTCTAACCGGGGTGGGGAGGGATGGGGGCGTGGCAGAGATCTCGGCTCCAGTCATGCACACAAAGAATGTCACAGAGGGAACACAGAGGCACATTTCACCGGACTTAAGTGGTGAGAGGAGAAAAAAAATGCTTCTACTTTAGGAACCAACACTAAAAGGCACTTTTAGCCACGTTTGTCAGAGTCCTCCTCAAAAAGGCAAATAATTAAAAGGTAGGTATTTATACAAATGGGACTTGTCTCTGAGCCTTCCCACTGGGCTTTAGTGTCCAAAGTACCAGATCAACTTCACTGTAATGTGACTTTAACCTATATTACAATCCACGGTACTGAACCTGAGAACATTGTAGGGAAATGCTATTGTCATTTATAAGAAAAATGCAAAGTCTCCTTTGTAGTATATGGAATTTTCATCTATCAATTTCTACCCCAAATTGTATTTCAAAAAGAAACCAAAGTGAATTTGTAGAAATTCCAAAGATGTCTAACTGGCAATTATTTTCCTCTCATTCTCTAAAGGCAAGGATCATCCAGCAGCAACCTTAGCACGAACACATAGAGCATTAGCACATAACTACACATACTCAGAAGCACTCATTATTTAAGCCATGGAAACTTTAAATTAATGTAGAACATCAATAGTTTTATCTTCATCCTACATGTGACTGGCTCTTTCACCCATCTTGGCACAAACTCAATTTGGTTCAACTGAACAAGCATTCGATACCTATCTATTATATATGAGCTACTGGCAGGCTCTGGAAGAGATCAAAACTAAATAAATAACAGGACATATTACCTCGCCTCAAAATAAGTGCACAAATAACATAAATTGTAATGGCATACGTACTTTAAGAGAAAAATGGAGAACCTAGTTTTAGCTCAAAAGAGAAAATCATGAAAGATTCTCTGAAGGAAGCAATCTATGAGTTAGGGGAGAGGAAATGAACGTCCTGGGAATAGAGAACAGTGGGGACAAAATCAAAGGGATGGGACAGTGCTGAGCCTGGTCATCTATAGGAATAGCGAAAGATGCAGCCAGAAATCCAGGCAGGAGCTAGACTATGTAGGTCTTGGGCCATGCTAGAGAGTGTGGATATTACTGTTTGGTAGGTAAGGAAAAGCTACCGAAAGAGAGAAATGACAAATTAGTGTTATGTTTTAGGACAATTGCAATTTCTAAGAGAAGCTGGAAGAGACTAGAGATAGGAAATCATCGTAACAGTCCAAATGAGAGGTGCCAAAATCTTGAGCCAGGTAAGAAGCAGTGAGACAAAAAGGACATGATTACAGAGTCAAAAAGATTTATTGACTAACTACCTGTGTGGACAAGAGAAAAGAAACTTAAGATGACAGAGTTTGGGAGGCAACTTGACTAGAAAGTAGTGAGTCCATGAAACAGGCTGGGAAAGGAATTGGAAGAATTTGGGAAAGTGAAGAAGTCAACTATCAAACGCTGAATTTAAAAACAAAAGCCCTGGATTTGACCTCTAACTGTACTTCCTCTGATTCCCGGATGTCTTACTGAATCTCTCTGGGCCTCAGTTTCTCAACTGTGAAATGTGTGTGCATGTGGGTGGGGGAATGAGGAGGGCACGATTAGCTGTGACCCGGCCCTTGCACTGTTCTGATTTTGTGGCGCATCTTTGCAAACGTAGCCGGCAGCCCGAAACGGGGCTCTGGGAACGAGGAGCAAAGCAAAGAACTGTCCGCATGCAGCAAAATTCCACTCTGAGCTTGTTAAGTCACAAGGATGGTGCAAGATACAAACCTGGTATGCAGTGTTCACAAAAGTATTAATTATTTTCCCTGTTTGTTTTCTTTCACGTACTTTCTCACTCTTTCCATTTTTCTCTCCTATATCTTCCTATTTTTCCTTACTTAGCATTGTATAGTTTTGCAGTTTTCTCTCTGATTTGCATTTCTTTCCCCTTTTTCACACTCCCCTGAATCACTGCTTTTTACCCTTTCATACTCTCTTCCTCCCGCTTAACACTCTTTACCCCAAGGAAAGCAAAGATTGGTAGAATCATAACCCCTCATCCCACTGAATTTAGACTGAGTGTAGACTAAAACTGAGCCTGTAAATCTGATTTCCACTCCAGGCAGGAGCCCGAGTGATGTGCTCCCACGGCCGTAAAACAAACCCCTGGCACTGTGAACCTCGTCAGATTTACCTTCGCTCCACTCCTGGGCAGCGGCTGGCCGCGGGCCACGGCCTCTCGTTCATCTCTCAAACCTCTCAGCAGTTTGAAAGAATCACACTTTTCTCCTTTCTGAATAAGATTTTTGGTAAAGTGGCACTTCAAATGTGCTTTTACAAAAAGGCTACAAGTCCAGGCGCAGGTTAAACCTGTCTCTCCGGAGGTGGGTCCGTCTTCCCTTCCTGACCTTCCATTTATCTTCCTGGGTTTTATTCTCCTTACCTTTGCTGATTTCTTAACAGTGAGCCCAAACAACAGGCTCATCTACAACTCTATGGTATTTTCCAAGACAGAAAGAAATGAAACAAATAGTAGAGATTCAAGAAAAGAAGAGGGGAAAATATGTATGAAATACTGGGAATGTCCTCCCCACCCCCACCCATATTTCTTTGATTACAAATCAAATTCTTTGGAATCCTAAGCAGCCAGGTTTGTTCTACCTTGATGAAACCCAGAACCTGTTTGTGAAATTCAACAATGGGCTCCATTGGAAAGAATAAAGATATTTTTGACGAGGTGGCTAAAACACCATTTGAATTTAAGACCCAGAATAAGTTTCCTCTCCTTTTGTGTTTTTTTTTTTTTTTCTCTCCCACTTTTGGCTTTTTCCTTTCTTCCTCACCCCCTCTCTGCCTCTTTCCCCACCATTTTTCCTTTTGCCCTCTGGCTCTCTCCTCTCACATCAAATCCTCTTCTCATTTCCTTGAGCTTGTGCCTCATCTGTCTCCCCTTTTCTCAGGGGAATGGATGTGAGGAAAGGAAAGTAAAACAGAAAAAGAAAAGACCAATGAGAAAAAAAAAAAAACATGTAAGACAACCTAAAGGTAATTTTTTACAATTATAAATCTCTGTAGATATAAAGGACAGATGTGACACTTTCACATAAAGTTGTCAATAAATTGACTCTTTTAACATTGAATCTTATTGCTTCTATTGTAGTAACAATAGAGGTGGATTGGAATGCTGAGGGTTGGTTGTGGTTTCGCTCTAGCATCCATCATGGGTCACAATGTAACAGTGCAGGAAAAGAGGGGCTTCAGATAAGGCACCTGAAGAGAATTACTTGCTTTTGCTTTTACAAGTGATCCCTTTCATTCTCATCCCTACTCTTCCTCTTTGCCTCTCTCATTATACTCTTTCCCAACCTGCTTTCTTAGATAAGCCAACACAGCCAAGGCCTGTTTCTTTCATACCAATATTATAGAAATATTTACAGAGTACCCACTGGGCTGCCACATAGAGTTGTGCAAATTGTACACTGCATGGGGTTGGGGACCCCTTTTGCATTGTTCTCTATGTGCAGTGCATAACCTTCATAGCTGAATGTGGTGGCCTGGGCCTACTGCATTTACATTTCTTTGAGACACTAGCTTGGCAGTGAGTTACTTAAGAATGAAAATTCCCTCAGCAGCCTCTCCCAGCAGAGCTAACATGTGTGTGCATACGTGTGCACACTTAGGGGCTGAGTTCAGAGAATTCAAGGGAAGACCAGAGAACAAGGAGTGGCTTTGGCAGGAACCACATGTCCGCCTCATCAGGGCTCTGATGATGGAATGGAGGTGCCCTCCCTCCTGTCCTTCCTTCTGTCCCTCTGCCACCAGAGGCAGCTAGTTTAGCACTGAGCACTTAGTTGGTTAACAGGGCCCCACCCAGATGCACACCATGGGCCAGAGGTTAAGCATCAGGGGAAAACAATGTGACCAAAAAAATAACAAATGTCCACACACAATAGTCCCCTGGCTTCCACATATACTCCTTAGTCTGTGCCTCTTCTTTTGCCACTTCTGTTTACCTTTAAGTATGTTCTTAATACTGTTCTATGGTCGTGGTGGACAGTGAAGGGGAGGCACTCGGGGTGACATGTACTGGCTCCTACAGCCACCTGGAGAGAGTCCCAAGCCCTGCTAGCTCTCAGTACAGGGTGGGGCAAAAGGGGGTTTACAGTTGTTCATATGGAAAATAATGCAATAGTTAATAAATAATAATATAAGAATAAACTGTTTTGCATACTCACAACTGTGAACCCCCTTTTGCCCCATCCTGTATATTATAAAATTTACAGAGAGGAATTTCTTTAAAGATACCCCAATATGCTCTAATGATTTCATCCTTTGATTGATACACTCTATAACAATGAAATTGCACATATTGGGGCCTCATTAAGAATTGCAAATGTGAAGAAAGGCAAAAAATGATGATGTATATACCATATTTAAATCTTGACTTCTGAATTTTAGAAAGTGGCTCCCAAATATTTAAACTGTGAATTGCTTATGTATGGGCAAAGGTAGACAATTTTTTTGAATGGTGAAAAAAGTTTGTTACTAATAAAGACTTCATATTACAACTGAAGTAATGTGAAAGTTATTTGGTCCCTTATTTCAATGAGCATATATTAGTGCATGTAAATCTCTTACATTAGTGCATGTAAGTCATGTGTACCTAGGACTTATTTTAGGACTCAGTTTAGCATCGATCTAAAACTTGCAAATAGTTCAATGATATGTCTATAACTCTTAAATAATAAAAGCCCATAATCTTACTCTTGACAGCTTGATCGATTAGATTCTTACATGGGTAGAAATAGCTTAAAACAAAAATTTTAAGAAATTTTGAGGTTCCTTTAACATTGCTTCAACCTCTAGATTTAAAAAATGAGCACTTATCTATCCAAAGGATCTTTATTGTTATATTAAGAAGAAAAGCTGTGTTATCAATGTAATCTTACTTATTGCAATCACTTATTTTATGCATAGTTTTTAAAAGTTTTTACTTAACAGAAATAACTTTATGCTGTATTTCAGACTTTTGAATTCATTGAACTAACTTCTCCATCTTTTTTCTTTCAGATAAATACAAAGTACTAAACTAGAAAACAAGCACAGCTCCAGAAATAACAATCAACTCAAGGGAAAAACAAAGCAGTGTCTTCCATGTGATAGAAATAAAGGCTACTACTAATCACTAAATATTTAAATTTATGTCAATCTAATTTCTTAAATCTAAATTACTGTGGATATCAATTTTAAAGGAAGGTAGAAAAGTATACAAAACCGTAAGGTTTTTGATTCATAAACTGTTTTCATCTGTAGGGCTTCTTTTCTTTGGGGTTGTGGGAAAATGTGTCGTTCTCTTTGGTTTTACTTTTCTTGTCTGGACGGTAGCCCGGCAGTGTTCTGTTGGGAACCACGTTCCTTCCATCTTTGTGTTCTAGCCAAGCTCCTGGCCTGAGAGACAGTATTTATGGAATCAATGAATCCCATTTTCAGGCAGGTGTTTTTTTTAAATCCCCATACTTTTAAAAACAAAGAAACTACAGATAGTCCGCATCCAAAAAATAGTTTGGATTTTTAAAAGCTACCACTTATTCATTCTCAAAAAGCTGCCAGTCATTCTGCGTGCATTCTTAATCTTCACAACAGTCTGAGAGTATTATTGCTTTCCTGTTTTACAGACAGGTGGCAAAAAGCAAAGCTTAGTGAGGTTAAGTTACTTGTTCAAAATCACGCAGTCAATATTATTTATATATATATATATATATATATATATATGTGTATACACACACACACACACACACACACACACACACACACTGCCACGATAGTTACAGTATTGAGAAGAGAAAATATTGGAGGGAAAGAGCCTATTGCAGTAATCCAGGCAAAAGATGACGATGTTTTGGAGTAGGGTGGCAGCAGTGGTGTTGTTGAGAAGTGATTAGATTCTGGATATGAAGGTAGAAATGAAAGGATTTCCTGATGGACTTGGATCTACTGTAGAAAGAAAGCCTGAACAACTGGAATAGTGAAATTTCCATACACTGAAATAAAGAACACTAGGCAAACATTAAAACTTCTGGCATGTGAAATTTTTAATGATCATTAGAAATTTAAATGGAGATGGTGAGCCAATAGTTGAATATATGATTCTGGAGTTATGGCAGAAGTTTAGGCTAGAGAAAAATTTAGAGTTGATAGTGTTTAGAACTTAAAGCCACTGAGACCTGATGCAATCATGTAGGTAGTGAGTGATAAAGAACATAATGATAAAAATAAGGAAGAATAATTAATGCATATAGTGCCTGGAATGTTCTAAACACTTTATATAAATAGATTTATTTAGTATTCGTAACCACTGTAAGACGTAGCTACTTCTATTACAAATTTATAAATAAGGAAATTCAATCTTGAAGAAATTAAGTGACTTTCTTCTGAGCAAACAGCAAGTGTTAGAACTGGGATTCAAACCCAGGCAAAGAAAAATAAAATATTAAATATTAGAGCCCTGGGACATTCCAGCTTTGAGCAATCAGGGAAGTAAAGAAGAACCACCCAAGGAGGCTGAGAAGGAGGTACCAGTGGGTAGGAAGAGAAGCCCAGAAGACAAAATAGAGAAAAGGCTCAATGGCATCAAATACTTGCTGACAGATCAAGGAAGACAAGGACTGAACACTGACCTTTGCATTTAACAAAGTGGCTCTAATAGGTGATCTTGATAAAGGCTGTTTTGAAGCAGTGATGGAGTTAAACCTACATCAGAGTGAGTCCAGGACAGAATAGAAGAGACACTAGAGTTCAACTCTCCAGAGTTCAGCACAGATATACCACCCCAGACCCAGTCAGAGGTATTCACATATGCATATAAGTTAAAGCAGCAGCTGAGATTTGTTACATAAACAAACTAGAGATTTGATTGGGAGTTTAGTGAGGAAAAGGTATGGGTAATTTTATAGTCCCTTTTTAGGAG